CATGCAGAACGGGAAAAGGAAAGTGAGTTGATCTCCACGTGTTTGTTTCCCACATTAAAATGCGCAATGATGAGTCCTGTCTCTAAGCTTACTCGTTCCTCTAATGTGAAGGCTTTGTCGGCTTTCGTCCACATATTAAAAAATTGTGGCCTTTCGTCTATTGAAGCAAAAATGAAACCTTTAGAAGATCCCCTAGCATGTTTACTCAAGAATATTGCTTTTTGGATTTCACAACCAATACAAGCTGAGCCCTTGAGTACTTAATGAAAGGAAATTGGATCAAGAAGTGTATTTTGTGCCTAAAGTAATTCGATTCTGAAACAAAAGGTCAAACAGGCTGGTATGCCCACACACTATGACTCCATGTGTTTACAGTTTCGCTGATGAAAGTGACATTTCCGTATATCTGGCTGTTATCAGCACACCATTTGCTCTCACGGAAAATAATCTTTGGCTGGTGACATANTCGAATACTACTGTGCTCCTGGCCTAGTGACCAAAGGCGACCCAAGTGGCCCGGGCTATTCCTGTGCGGACATATCAACTGATCAAGAAAAAGGTGTATTCATGATTTCCACATGTGCAGCAGACTGGAAAGACGAAGGCGATTCGTTTATTAAATGTATGGAGGCCTCCAAGAATTCGAATCGATCTTTTACATCTGAAAATATCAAAGAGGACATTCCAGTGCATGATTTCTGGGGGAATAACTATCGAAATCTTTACTGTGCTGCTTGTAACAGACAACCACCCCACTCTAATTTTTGGCAGGTACAATTTCGATGTAATATCCAAGCTCCATCCTATTACAGTACCGAGCAGAAATTAGACTTTTATCTGAAATACTGTAGAGATAAATCCATGGAACCAGAAAAATACTACAGGGTACGTACTTGTTTGCCAATGGTCTCCACATGCTCAATCGACAATAAACACAAGGAAGGGTGCATGAAGGGAAATTCTGGACTTGTCCATTCCGAGAAAACAAAGAAGAACTTCAAAAACATCGACTGTCTGCTTTGCAATGGCGAATCGTTAGACGACGTTACATGTGGTCCACAGGAGAAAGGGGACATCTTCAATCCAAAATCATTTGAAATTGTCATGGAATTTATTTCGGGAGAAACTCCTAAACCTAAACTGAACTCCTTTTCCACATCATGTTCTAAGAATAAAGTGTTTGATCCACACCTAGAGACTTGTGAGGACACTTCTGTTCGGAATCCTTCGTTCGCTGTCCGCGATACGTATCGCATTAAACAATGGATGTATCCCGCGGATGACATTGAAAGACCCATGTTAAAGCAAGAGTTTATCAACGGCTTTTGCTCACGGTTTGCCTTAGAGCCTTCGCAGATTTATGTGATATCAAATTCATCAGAGAAAAAAATCATTGTAATGGAATTCAACCTGTATGCTGGCCAAGCGGCGAGGGATAATGACGATAATGAAACTTTGGATGTGGCTGCTCTTCTTGATTTCAATGAATCATTTCCTATAATAATTGCAAACAAGACCTGGTTAGTGGTCAGGGTCACTCAAAGGCAGTTATCTTGCGCAAACCCAGAAGAGTATTCCCATGACGAATACAGAATAAAGCCCACAGGGGAAGCCTTACTAAATAGAACTGTGGGCAACCTTCAAGAATCGCTCCCGCCAAAAAAATTCTTTATCAAACGCAACGACAACGGCAACGATTCCTTGATTGTGTGCAGGTCTACATTTAGTGTCTTGTGCCCTTTCAAACTCCTATTGATAAGCAGTTCTGAGTTTAAAATCTTGGCCAACAAAAGCTTACTGCATACCACCACTGGTAGAGTATACTTGACTGAAAAATACACCTTGATGGATGAACTTAAAAAAGCATGGATATGCACTAATTACACTGAACTCCAACACACTGAGACTCCAGTGGGTACAACAAGCCGAGAAAATACGTTTCTGCGATACTTTACAATCGCTGGATTTTCTATCTCAGTTTTTGCTCTTTCCCTCACCTTAACGATGCATAGCGTTTTTATTGAGCTCCGGGGCCCCCTTCCTGGTAAAAATCTGATGAGTCTCTGCTTTGCCCTTCTACTGGCCCAGTTTATGTGGCTGTTTGGATCTGGAGACACCGACAAGCCAACATTTTGTACCATTATGGCGGTCGTTATACATTACCTTATTTTGGCGTCCTTTGGGTGCACAGCCGTTATCGCCTTTGACACTCGCCGAACTTTCTCTAGCAAGATTTCCAAAGCTCAATCAAGATCTATCGGAAAAAGCCGGAATCTTCGTTTACTGGCGTACACGTGCTTGGCATGGGGTATTCCTTTGCTTTTTGTGGCTGGCTGTGTCCTGCTTGACCACTTTCAAGTGGTCTTCATTGGCTATGGTAATGAAGTCGCCTGCTGGATAGTCAGCAGCAATGGAAAGATTGTCACTCTTGCCACACCAATAGCTTGCGTCCTTCTTTACAACTTTGGGGCCTTTACACACACTGTGTGGGCCATCAAAAGTGCCAAGAAGCAAACACACCGAGTGAAATCATCTCGCCAGGATCAAGGGGCAGTTTTTAAAATATATATTCGCCTGGCCTCCCTTATGGGTTTCACATGGTTTTTCAGCTTCAGTGCCGAGTTCATCCACGAGGCACTCCTCTACCCTTTTGTTATGCTCACGACCACTCAAGGAGTATACATATTTGTTGCGTTCATCTGCAAGGCCCGAGTACTCAAGCTTCTGAAAGATAGGTTTCCAAGATCGAGGAAGGATGCAATGGCTTCCACTCAGCACACGGCAAGCACAGAATGTAGGAGTTTACCTGCATATTCTCCAAAACAATCAGCGAGAGACACTCACTTTTAGAAGAACACAGAAAACTGAGACCTGGTGATACGTACAAAAGTGTTTTTTCCCTGTTACTTTTGATCGGTTTAGTGTAAGAGTTCTTACACCCCACTTAGTGTTCAGGTCTTCTTTACGAAACAGTACCAGAGAATATTCCCTCCAATCGTCTATTTAATGCGGTATTAGTGTCGTATAATCGCACTTTGTATATAATATAATTCCAATGATAAGATACGGATTTTACGTTATCGATACTGTCCACTATGCCTTGCCGTTTACTTGATTGTCGCGTTTCATTCATAAAATTGAAGTAGTAACGTTATCTGCACTGATACGCCGCGAGAAAATGATATAATATTAGTGATAGTATTAATATTTAAAGATGAGACAATTTCTAGTGTAATAGAAAAAATCCGAGCCCCAGATGGGACTTGAACCCACGACCCTCCGTGATCTAGTCGGATGCTCTAACCACTGAGCTACTGGAGACTCTATGGTGAGCAAGGGTCAATTTGTGGGCCTCGACTGGAACCGCATCGCGCAATATTGACGTTGGTTTTTTGAGGTCTTTTTGTTTTAGTCTTGTAATAAATTATCACCAAACTTATCAATTGATTAACCGCCGAAAGAAACAAAGATAAAAATTTGAACCCTTTACACCCTAACATCTGTATGCATATTCTATTATCTACACATTCCTTGGATGCTCACAAGGACAATTTATTGCAACAATCAAGAGCTTTTTTCCTGGTGGATGATCATTTCCTAAATTCTCGTGACCTTCATGTGTGATTCGAGGGCAATGTTATAAGAGAAGTTGGATTCTAGACACTCTTCGTGGTCAAAGGTTTAATTGGTGCCTGTGGGAACTAAAAAGGGAATGTTCATAACCGTCCTTAGGCTTAGGAATCAAAGGTAAGCAATTGGCGATTGGTTTTATCTCTGAAGATGGTTGGTTGAAAGGGTAATTGGGATTTCTGAACCTATAACAGAGTGAGAGAGTCAAAAATAAATTCAACCCTGATTCCCTTTTGACACTAAATTGAAAGTTTTTCAAAGACTGGTTTATTAGCTCGAGGAAAAAAACTTCAAGCAGAGCTCTAAAGCTGGCAAGGTCAATAACTGGATGAGCATAAAAAACATATAGCAGTCAGCAAGTCAAGCAATGATCGCGTAGCGTAGCAGATTGACTAAAATGGAAATGAATGAAGAATTAAGGTAATAATGACCAAAATAGTTTCCGAGTGTTCTAGCTCTCAAAATTAACCTCGTGACGGAAAAGAAAAATTCATATTGTTATGTTTTTTTTTTCATAAATTTTTGGGTATGAGTTACGTATCATACGATCACCCTGCTTGTTTCAATGTTCAGATTTTATGCTTGGAGAACTGTATAAGAACCCTAAGGTTTATTTTGTAACAGTATGAAAATATAACCAAGGTTCTTAAATTCCTGACGTCACCTTGAAAATGAAATCGAAAGCGCAGAGGTTTCCTAATGAGATGAATCGAAAGCGAAAAATAAATCCCCCAGGATGCCATGTCTCGAATATGTTCCTGCATTAGAAGCAGTTTCGCTAAAGTCCAGGGGATTTAACAGGGAAAAACATCTATGACAGTTATTTTTGTAACCGCAAGATCCACATGAGTTCCTCCACCAGACGACCTATAGTTTAAAGAGGCAACCGTAAAACACTCAAGTGACCTGTGTGTTGTGGTTAGAATGCGCGTCGTAAAATTATAAACTATTCGTCAGTATTTATTTTTAAAATTCTTCGGCTTTAATCTTGAATTCGAAAATAAGAACCAACATCCACAAGATATTGATTATGTTGTACTTCGAAAGCAACGGTTGGTCAATTTAGAAAACTGACTTCCGCTTGATTTCTCAGAAACCCGGATAGCTTTATTTAATAATCGTGACATTTCGTGGAAATTTTATCGACGTTACAGACAGATTTTTCTTCAAAAACAAATTGAATCAGCCTCGAAAACTGCACAAACGGTCAATTCACCTAGTAGATTTCAGATTTTTAAAGTTCTATTCTTAAGGAGCTTTAAAAATTTTCAAGGTTACAGTGACAAGTGAAATCGACTTCCGCAAGCAGAGGGATTTCTGGGAATTATTAAATTCCCCGAGGCCCACGAAACTTTATAATTGCATTTCGCGGAAGCGATTCAACATTTAGTGGAAAACATTGCAGTTGATCACACAAGGATTTCCACTCCACGTCAACATCGAGAGAAGAAGGTTTTTTTGGAAAATTGAATTTGACAGAACATTTTCTCAAAGCAAGACATGTAGTTTCAGAAGCATTTCGTGTAACGATGAAGTGCCCATCTTGTGGGAATCCCGAACTGCAAGAACATCATCGCTTCTGCTGCAGTTGCGGCTTTAATCTTGCTCTTGCAACTTCAAAAGTGTCAAACACGAGCCCTGAGCAATTCACAGCTACTGCAGGTAAGTTGGAGAGTTTTTCTTTGCTAAGCCTGCCAAGAAATAAGAGCGACACGCGACACGAAATTAGGAAATAAGTGCCACGGGCTTAACAATCTGTGACAAGCGCCAAGAGTATCTTCCCAATATTCGAAGCCGATTCGAGAAAGGTTAGAAAAAACAGGAACACTCGGTATCACTTGGAACTTCTCTAGTACAGACACTTTGTGAATGCTTTTAATGTTTTTAACTTGTGTATTGACTTGTAATAAACAGAGGTGGGGGGACCGAACCATCGAAACTAAGCTATCATGCGATCACGCGATTGCATTTTCTCAGTACATCACGAAGGATACAGTGAAGAAAAGAAAATAGGCCGGTCCTTTATCTTTGAAGAAATTTTCAGGATACGCAACGAATATTTATGGCCACGACGCCATTCGAATTCGAAGTGAAATAAGAGACATTACATATCTTTGTTTAGACGACGTCAGATTCATAGAGTCACGACTAATCCCTTAAAAAGCATTTTTTTTTTTTCGGCATGATTCACTAGACTGTGCGACTGAAATGATATTTTGTATTCGATTATTTTTTGTCGGTTGATGAAGAAGATATAGAGGCGTTGATCGTCTTCCTCCTAAAATGGTTTACAGGGTGCAAATATGCTGGCAAGTAGTTTTGCATGAAATCGAGGCTATAGCTGTTTCAGAGCGTAACTTTTTAATATAGCTGTTTTGTTTTGACGAATTAAACAAGTTCTGATTTCCTGCGGATTACTCCCGGACGACAACATTTGCGTCTTTTATTTTGTGAATGACTACCAAACAGAAGTGCAGCTAAAGGACATGAATATACAGTGAAAAGGATTTTTCGATTAATTTTTATTTGTAACTTTCAGTTTCACATGTTGGATGTTGTAAACTCTTAGGTTTGCCTACATAATTGCAGTGATCGACCGCTTGTAACGGTATTAGATTGAGCTCACTTTTGGCTTTCATGTAGTTTGTTTATCAGACAGAGAGTTACACAAAAGGTGACGTCAAGTGAAGACAATCTAGATTCTTTTTTCCCTTGATAAACTGGTCAGGTTGCATTTTCAATAAAAGTGCTTCATTTAGAAATAGGTAGCGGTGAATGCCAATGAAAGGGAGGTGATAAAATAAATACCAACTTTCTGTGAGACCTTTGGGATAAAACTATTTTGGATCCAGGTATCTTTTGCTTAAATGATCCCGAAAACAGACGGCCTTTTAGAGAGGGATTTAAGGTGCTATCGATCGATATTTTGTATAAACCAGTTCAATTGATTGCCGGAATCCAAAGTTTAATAGAATCTTGCCAGAGCATAAACTAAATGAGCTTGAACTGTGGTTAAATTACAGGATCTTTCGTTACCGTGCGTTATTTATTCGTTACATTATTTAATATTTAATATTTTTAATATTTATATTGCGCAAATTAACATGTGAATATGATAAAATGCGCATCACAACACTTTTCGGGGGACTTTGGCCGGACTGCATCAGCAGTTTACAAACAATCGAAGGAAACTTATTTGAAGATGCCCCCTCCGCCCAGTTACCAGTAAACAGGCCAGACCACATCATAGTAATCTCGTGAGTGGGTTCTTTAACGTCCCCTGCCTAACCAAATTAACTAGTTAATAGA